GCTATATTAACCAATAGGATGCATTCAACTAGATCTGCTATATTAACCAATAGGATGCGTTCAACTAGATCTGCTATATTAACCAATAGGATGCGTTCAACTAGATCTGCTATATTAACCAATAGGATGCGTTCAACTAGATCTGCTATATTAACCAATAGGATGCGTTTTTATAAAGTAGGGAATTAATTCATAAAAAGTTTATTTGAATTCTATAAATCAAAGTTCTGTCCAACATCAATGATGATCTGCAGGGCAGCATTCTATACCCAGATATTGTAGCATCTAGGATAGAGCTGTCAGTCTGGGAAAGAATCTGCTTGTTATTCCAAATTATAAAGGTTCACTTTTTATTGCAACATAAAACTATAAAACTGCCTAAAACCAGTTTTAGGCAGATAAAACCGATTAAAACGATCACATGTCATAATGACTAAAATGGGACTAAGACTAATAATAGTTCTGGTCCTGAAGACTAAATCTAAACTTTAATCTAACTTCCTGTGAATCTTCCTGATTGATTCCAGTCAGACCAGTTGTGGATGTGATGATGTCACCGCGCCCCAGTTCCCACTGAGTCCAAACTGGTCCTGTCAGGACCGACTGGGTGAGTCCCGCCCTGGCGGACGGTACGGTGGCTGTGCGGGTCAAACATCTCACACAGCTGGGGGGGATTGGGTCCGTTTATTGAGCAGAACTTTAAGAACAGAAGTTGTTCTGGATCAGAACCAGAAGGCTGTGACGGCGTTCTTCATCAGGTCACCGTCCCTTCTTCATCTTGGCCACCCTCTCCTTCCTCTTCTTCACGTGTTTGGGGACTTTACTCTTCCTCTTCTCCCTCTGAGCTTCCTTCACCATCCTCTTCCTCTCCTGAAACACAGAGATCAGTTATTTATCCAGAACTTCAGGAGTTCCTGCTTCCAGCTCTGGTTCTGCTGACTGGGCACCTTCTTGTCCATTTGGCCTCCCTCTTTATCTTCCTCCTCCTCATCCTCCTCCTCCTCGTCATCCTCCTCCTCCTCTGATGAAGAGCAGTCCTCCTCCAGCAGTGCGGGAACCTAACAGGACATCAGAACCAGAACCTGAGGAGGAGTTAAAGCGAAGGCAGAAGAAGGAAAGAGGAACCGTACCGTCTGGACTCCAGAGAGGTCCTTCTTCAGACCCGTTAGCGTCTGGTACAGAACCTGAGGAGAACAACCAACACCTCCTTCAGTCCATTATAAGGTTCTGATCTTTGTTCACAACTTTCCATTCTATTCAGTTTATTTCTATAGCGCCAATTCACATCATGTCATCTCAGGTCACTGTTTAGATCTAGATCAACCAGATCATCCAGGAAAACCAGCTGATTGCATCCACTCCTTGACCCAATCCCAAACCGGCCCCTAAGCACT